CAGATGAAAGACTAGTTTGTGTTAATATAGACATAGATATTTTTATAAGCAATAATGGCTTTGTCACATACAAAATCAACTTACACAAATTTATCTCATATTCATGAATCCCATGTCATTTTCCTACTATATTTACCCAACCACTTATTGGGTCTCCTCAATTATATGTAACCTTGAATTTCCTACTATCAAAGACCTTTCCATTCATTTCCAAACTACAATCACTTCATCTCACAGTATAGTGATCTTCCCTTTAGCTTACCCTTATTGAACTGAAGCATGCTGCAGCTAGGACAGAGTGGTAACAATTGTCCCACACTATAACAGATACTTGTATTTTGTTAAGAATGACTCTTAGCAGTACAAATTCAATACCCTGCAGAATTCACACAAGGAATCTGTGCAAAGGGGGCATAATATTTTCTTCTGTAATCTACTTCCTATCTTCCAACCTATGAAGAAACTGCTTCTTCAACAAATAGAGCTGGTATCTCCAGAATCTAATCCCTGTATGCAGAAAAAGGTAGTTTGCATGGTCTTCCAGATCCACTGAAGTCTGTTAGAGCACACATAAGCACAGCTGTGATGGCAGTCATGTGTAACACGTTTGTACAATCGGAAGGACAACATTCTCCAAGGAAGGACAATGCAGCAGTGAGACTCAGAACAAGCTCTTGCTGCGCAATGCATTCATTAGAGAAGCTACAGGAAAAAAAACCAACCACCCATGGCTTAATTATTTCATTCTTAATGCAATTCCTCCCAGTAGATCAGGGCAAATAGTTTTTCACCAAGTAACTGAAACAATCTCATGAACAGCAGCATTCTGAGGTTCTGAGTCACTATGCAAGTTTTTGAACAATTTTTTTAACAGTAAGTATTCAAAACACCTTTTCCCTTCCAGTAACTTAGAAATCTGCATACAAAGCTTAAAACAAAGATTAAAGAGGAATAAAGAACCCTTGTGTTTAAGCATGTGATACAGACCCTTAGCTAAACACTACACTGCATCAGAATTTGCAGACAGAAGTTACTCAGTCTTCATAAAATGGATGTCTTCAAAGATCCTAAATTGAAGTTCAACTCCCCCCAGTTCCTAGCCATGTACATCTGTTAAAAATATCCTGCTAGGTTTAATTTCTTAAGCTAGTCTCAGTTCAGTAGAAACTCTCTGAAAATACAATAGAATACATACTAAATCCATGATATATAGATCCCTGATCTTCTGACAAGGCAGAAGACTAGCAATGGGTTGCAATTATAAGTAAGGGCTCCTGCATCGCATTTCCGAACTCCCCTCTGCTTCAACTCTTCCTCCCATCTGTTTAAGCATAATAAAACATACAATATTGCACACACAAAATGGAAGTCTCATATGGCAGGCAATCTTATGTGCAAAATATAACACTACGAAGACTAAGATCTCATGCACATTTTACAATATCTATTATGAGAACCAAATCATATTGCAGCCATTTCAAAGTGTATGATCAGCTTATAAGAATTCATTCAGGTTAAGGGATCTCAAAGTAATTTAATAAGATGTGTAACTTGCATAGTTTTAATCATTGGAAGGAAATACACAGGTGTAGACTGCTTCAATGAAGCTGTCCCAAAATAGGTTAGACTGTATTGCCATCTCACTGTGACATAAACATGGGATAAAAATGTCCGAGTACCCAAGAGATGTTTTGTTCCAGACGAAACTATCATTGTTCCATATTTTCTACAGAAGAAATCCAAACAATGACAGTAATGTGTCATTAAGTGCCCAGCACACTGCCGCTGCTCGTTATCCAAAAGGAAATGCAGCATAAATACAGCAGAATTCAGTGCAAGAGTAAGCAACAGTGTGGTGTACTGGATACCAGCTAGACTGCTGGAGGTACTGGACAGCAGTAACTGAAGATTTTATCCTGTACAGACTTATTTCAGACACCCTCCTGAAAAGCTCTGTATCCTCCCCCTAGATTTTACAAATTGTAGCAAAAAAAGGGATTTTCAGGATCACCAGAGGCCTTCAAATACTTCGAGAAACATCTTTAGGGAAGAAACCAGCTTCTTTTCAAGGTGCTATGACTGCCACATCCACTAGAAGGATTCAGCGCTACATCCAAAGAGGAAAATCTAATTTGCTCTCTGATCAGCAAGCATTTGGAAAAATCATGTAGCAGTTGAAACAGTTCCACATGGAAGAGATTTACAGAACCGTAACTTTCCAAATAATTTCGAGAGCAGCAATCCCGGATATTGAATGAGACACGGGAGAAAAAAAATCATTCATTCCTTTAAGAATTTGCTAAACCACCTGTACCACAAACACAGCTCTCAAACAGGAGCAAACAGCAGATTCAAGACAAACTTAGTAGCAAACCCAATAATCTTCTAAATAACCAGTGTTACTCTAACATCTAGGCAGGTTTTTTTTTTTCTTGGAGGTTTCCTTTCTAAGCACCAACCAGACTAATTCTCTTCAGCTGGCAAAATCAGACAAGATCACAGCCTGAAGGGGAAAGGCTGCGATAATAAATATTTAATGGGCTACATCAATAAAATTTATTTTGCCAAGGAGAATGGAAGGAGAGGAAAAGCAGAGAAATAATTCATTAAAAGAACTTCAGCTTAGCAATGCCAGAAAAAAGACATGCTAGGAAAAGGAATTAAAAACAAAGAGGTTTTAAATAGGTCAGAAGCTTAAGTACTCTTAACACATGGCAAACTGACAAAGAGCTGAGTTTTTCAGAATGAGAGTACAGCAATATGTATACTTAATAGTAATTCATCCCACTGCAAATAAATATCCCCAGACACACTACTAACAGTTTCAACTTTTTGCAATATTTCATATCATCCAACCTTTAAGACCTGTTTAGTACATGGAAGTGTCATTGCTCATTAAGAAATGCAACAAGCACCTTGAGGTTTCCTTTATTTCTCACGGCAAAAGTCTTCCCTATTTTATATTGGATGGGGCAATAAGTTGTTTTCCAGAAGACAAAAATGCAACAGCAAAATTAAGGTATTTAATACAAAGCTTAAACATTTTTGTACTGCAGTGCTCCCCATAACACAGCATAGAGCTTAATATTTGCAACTTACATCATAGAATTTGCAAAAAAGGATGTTTAATCTCTCCTTCCTTTCTGCCACTATTTCAAATCACTTGCAGCGATACAAGAGTATACAGCACCTCAGTATGTCTTCTAACACCTTTTCCATTTACTCTCCTGCTCCATCCAATCTGAACCTCTTACAACCAGAAGTCAGCAGGATGGGCAAGGAAGAACATCAGAAACTGTTGTGTTTATGCTAACTAAACAAGTCCAGGAACCTATTAATTCTCAAGTTCTAATTCTAGATCTGGTAATGACTTGCTATATGGCTTTGAATCACTGGATTTGGGATTTTTTTCTTTTTAATCGGTAAAGTAGAGAAGCAGATACTGTGCAGAGACAGGCACAGTCTCAGGACATGCAGATTAAATGGTATTAAAATGGTATTCACAGCTACTTCAGTGAGATTTGGTAAAATACTTAATACATTTAAAAAATTACCTTTTTAGAAGTCTTTGATTTAAAATTATTTAATAGTTTTGTGGATAAAGTCACACTACTTAAACCTCCCTAATGGTGAAATACAGAGATTATTTAAAAAAAGCAAATTGTGTTGATAACCACAGCCAAAACCTCACTCATCAGCAGTGCTGTCACAGGACAAACTGTTCAGTAACACGAAGAGTCAAGTATCCAAACAAGTGATTAACTGCTGCCCTCTAGTGAAGTCATAAACCTGAAACTGGTTCTAGATTTCTGAAATTCAACAAAATCTCAGTCCCAGCCAGATTTTAGCTAGATTTGTTTGTACCAGAAGAAACCTACAGCAAGCATCTTAATAAAGTGTGCTTATGATTTAATTTTACTCTTCTATACTAGAGTCTTTAGTTTAGGTTTAGCACCGCAATAAGGTTAAACACTCTTGTCAATTTAACACCTGCAGAGTATATTCTGCTTTTTCCTCCGACTTGTGAAATCAAGTTCTCATCTTACAATGAATCACTGGCAAAGCCTTTTTAAAAACCCATTACATCAGAAAACACAATATTCTATTTTTTAAAACAGTATGACAAGAATTTAACAATAGACTTCTATATTTAAAATTTTTGACAGGATTCTATTAGCTTTTTCTCATGCTGAGTACCTTTTTTGTAATGCCACTTTCACTGAAGGCTTAATGACTTCACTGCTGGTTACTGGAGCATCTTGGCTCTTGATGTTACTGCCCAAAAAGCTCCCTCATGTGAAGTGGACAGACGTATTAGTCACAATTTATTCTCAAAGCCGGGTTTTTATTGTAGCAGATTCCTAGTTAACTTTTTGTTCACGTATTTAAAAAGAAAGAGGTGGCCACTTCAGGAACAAAGTGATGAGAGGTGCGATATTTGGCATCAGATGAAGAACCAGCAACAACAGCTGTAAAGCAGTCCTTGCTAGGTGACCCTAATGATATCAGAATTTCACAATCAGGATGCTTTGCTTTCACACAAAGATAAAAACTGGGTCTTCCTTAAGCATTAAAACCACACTATATCCAGTTGTTTTTGTGACACACAGGAGGCAGTAAGCACAACTGAGGGTGGTGTTTCTCACTTTCTGGTTTAGGCTATCTTTAAGCTACAGCTGGCCCATTAAGTTGGGCTGAACTACAATGCCTGCATCAACAGTTTCAGGTTAATTTGCTCCTCCAGTCAGCAAAATGCTGTTTCCAACCCAGCCTGAAATGAACCTGGCTGATGAAAAAGCTCAAGCTAAACGCATGGAGCAGAGGTTACAGTTTACACAAAACTAATGTCTTCTGTTTCAGCATTGGAATACTTCATACGCTCATAATAACTAAAGACATTTAAGCATTTCTTGAAGGAATTAGCTTGAATGACAACCATTAAAATCTACTTAGTCATTTGCTTACACAAAACATTGGAAAAAGTTGCAACAACTTGCCTGGAAACTTATCAGGTACATTTATTAAGGAACAACATTCAAAACCACAGATGTTATATTAGTATTTTTGAACTTCTATATAAAATAAAAAAACTTGTTTGACTTTGTCAGCGTACTTGTATCTGCAGGTTACAACACCTGGGGAAAGATCAGTACAGAGAATTTTGTTAGTATCTTCCAAACATTTAGCCATCACAAAATTTTATACAAGCGTAACACACAGAAGACATACCTGCTTCCAGTCTGAGCGAGTTTAACTTCCAATCATTAACACATTTTGGGTCAAACAGAACTACTGTATTACTGTCAAGGCTACAGGTCTTTCCAGTTTCCCATTAAGATGTTAAAGTGTACAATAAAATAATATCTGCACATAAGCTATGCTTCAAATTTCAGTAATTTATGTAATCTAAATTTGAAGTTATGCATACTTGTGTGGGCACACTTACGTGACTTCATAACAGGATCAAGCCAAGTATCTGCCAGTCTACAGCTGGTTTTTAACACCACTGCCTATGAGCTTGATTTAAATATATTCAGATTTTTCAAACTGCTGTCAACAGGACTGGGCAGAAATTTAGCTGAACTACCAACTCCCTGTAAGAGTTTTATTAGAAAAGTTGAGATTGACAGGACAAGCCTGAATCTTGCCCATCATGTGGAGCCTACTACACGAGTGATCCAAACGGAACAGTTTCAGATTACACAGTATTATGAACTTCTTGTTGCCATCTATAAAAAGTGGAGGTAGCAAAATGAAAATAAGGTTCCTCAAGACAACATTGTCAACAGTTCTATAGTGCTACTTTTACCTCAGTTACTGGTTCATTTTCTCCTGTATCTTCTTTAAAAATCTGAATAATGTTTCAGCCTGAAGAAAAAAAAAGTTGAGACAGATTTAAAACTTTTCAGTAACCTGTTGAGTGAACAACACAAAAAAGCAGCAACTATTCAGAAGTGTCACTTTGATTATTCTTAGCTAATCTGAAACACAGGTGTAGCAAAAGATAGCAATCATCCACATGCCAGATTTACTTGAAGTGCGATTATAACATGCAGTTCAAATTCAAATAAAGGACAAATCACAAGATTTATTCACATTTTTACAGACTTGCTTGGGAGTCTTTTTGTAAATTCTCCCCATCAGACTTCGTAAATCGTTAAAATCTCACATTAAAAATACAAAGTTTTTCAAGTACCACATAAAGTTACCCAGTTTAAAAAAAAAAAAATTACTGCTGAGTTATTACAGCTCCTTAACCCCTGACCACAGCAGCAGAAAAAAACCCCAACACCTCTCCCTTCCCACAAAAAGGCTAAAGTTAAGCTTATGCTAGTCAGACATCAACCACTGAGTTCGAGTTCCACATAAAAACTAGGATTTTACAATCTAACTGCAAGCTGGCAATGTCTCACAATAAACCATGAAGTCTTGCCACATGCACTACCCAGCACGTGCAAGCCTTCAAACCTCACTGAGCCTGAGCACTAACCACCAAATCACAGAATGGCTGAGGTTGGAAGGGACCTCTGGGGGTCATCTGGTCGCCCCGCCCCTGCTCAAAGCGGGGCCACCCAGAGACAGCTGCCCTGGACCATGTCTAGAAGGCTTTCGAGTATCTCCAAGGATGGAGTCTCCACAACCTCTCTGAGCAACCTGTGCCAGTATTCAGTCACTCTCTCTCCAAAGATGCTATTCACCCTGCCTGTACAACTAGAACAAACCCATGCCAGATACAGATGTTAACACTGAAGCACAGATCTTCTTTTAATCCTCTGAACTGATTTTTTAATGGGGAGAGCATCCAGTATCTGGCTTTTTACATCCTAGTTTTTTCAGAAAAGGACAATGACAGTTTTGACAGGGATGTCTGCAGCAATGTATATTTTATAATCAGACAATAAACAAGGCTCATTCTCTAGAAGGGAAAGCCTGCTCTGCACTCAATTAAGTCATCAAGTGAAATTCAGATCACAAACTCAAACCTTTTAATTTACCAGTCACCTGCCCCATCTCACAGATGTTATCTGGGATTACGAACCTAACTTGGTACATACCTAAACAACAAAGCTTTGCCTTTGTTATTCGCTACAGAGAAAAAACCACTTCTGGGAGAAAAGTCCATAGATTGAGCAAGATAAATCTGTTTTCTTCTGAACACCGGGAAGTTTGAGAATACAGTATATGAAGGAATGTGCACCTATTGAGAAATAGGTCATTGGTTATAACAATTAGGAAAAAGCCACTAAAATTCAAATTAAAGTACAAATTTAGAAGTGAAGGTCAATGTTAAGTTCAACTGTTCAGTTATACTCCTATCCTACACCACTCTATCTATAGAGTTCTACTGGAGAAAAGGTGCAGGGAAGACATATTACGAAGCCAGTTATTGCAACTCATTTATTTTTAAGTAATTGCATCTAAGCAGTAAAAATAGGCTTCCAAACCCTCAGATTAATTCAATAGTTCCACTGTTGGCCAGAATTCCGACAAGTCTGGCAAAATTTTTACCACCACACAGTAAGACCGTTACAGTTAGCAGCTATCGAAAATTCACATTTGTTGCTGAGTTACATTTATAGCACTGAAATAACGGCATTTTAAAAAGAGAAAAACAAACGGTAAACTAGACTATAAGATGTTATTTTCAGAACAACTTCCCTGAAGAAAAAAAAAAATTATTTCCTTATAACTGTACAGTATCTTGTCCTGATCTGCTCAGTCTAACAAATTTTGCAGTAAACATATCTGCTCAATATCAGTTTTATTATGTCACCAGGATCATTTTTGATCAAGATACAAAAAATCTTGTACTAAAGAAGCTGAACATACCAATTTGACAGCCTCATCAGTTTCACAGGAAGCCACTGCCAAAATTTCCGTGGTGGGATTGAAGGTCACACATGTAGCAGATGTAACTAGGTTCATTATAGCTTTAACTGGTTTAGGACGGTTTTCTTTGAGACAGACATCAGTAGTATATAAATTTACAACTCCAGAAGCTGAACTAAAAAAGAAATTAACAAAGACTATACCAAGAAGTAACATTTACAGTACATATTACCTTGTTATCTATAGCCACCATTCAACTAAAAATGTAATTTCCAATTATTTACTGGAGTTTGTAATAATATTTTGTTTGGAGCTTGATTTTGCTTTGGAGTTTATAACAATATTTAGTGGAGGGGTTTGGTTTTTTTTTATTATTTTATATATAAGAGATACACTTAACTGTGGAGAGCCTTGATAAGACAATCTCTTACATAGAAGAATTCAAAGCAACAAGCGCTTGGCATCAAAAGATTATGAAATAATTTCAAGCTGTAGAGTAAATCCACTTAAAAATCCTCTTCTGCAGTGGGCTATGAAAAGGCACACTGTACTTAAGTATTTGCTAGTCTCATTTAAAAATATTGATACGCTAACTGAAGTCACATCTCATTAAGTATACTTAGAGAAACACTTTCAAGCTTGTGGCTTTGACTTGAGGGATCTTTTCAAATGCTAACATGCTATCTTGCAAGAGCCAAATTAGGAGTATAGGAAAGAACTAGAATACGGGGAAGACCCTGAATCAACATTTGTACTACAGAAATTGTGATTTCAGTGCTGAACCCATATATAGCAACAGTAATACATTAGGACTGATACTGGTATTAGGTGTGTTATGGTATTTTAGATATACACAGAACAAATTAAATTCTTATCATAAAACAGGCAATATTCATCTATTCATCTCTACTCTAATCTTATTAAAGCCAAACTTATTGCATGTTCCTACACTCTCACCAGCCACCAATAAGTTTACTCTGAACCCATATATAGCAACAGTAATACATTAGGACTGATACTGGTATTAGGTGTGTTATGGTATTTTAGATATACACAGAACAAATTAAATTCTTATCATAAAACAGGCAATATTCATCTATTCATCTCTACTCTAATCTTATTAAAGCCAAACTTATTGCATGTTCCTACACTCTCACCAGCCACCAATAAGTTTACTGAAGAACTTCAAAATGAGATAGGAAGAAGTTGTCTAATCCAAATCACTTACCCACATGCCACATACTGGTTATTTTTTGAAACAGCGATGCACTTTCCTTCCAAAGAACCTTCATCTTCAAATTTGTGTAGACACTTTCTGCTTCTCACATCCCAAATGAAAACTTCACCTTCCTCTGGTTGCAGAATAAAGTAGAAGATTATAGAAACCGTATGTACAGAACACATCATTTGCCCATTTTTTTAAAATAAATTTCATTACATGAAAACTATTAGCTCATTTACAACTATCAAATATAGGATATTTTTAAAAAAACAACTAAAGGCATACCAAAATAACAGTTAACTCCATTCTTTAATGATTGATCACTTGGTTGTATTTTTAGGCCAGATACTGGCATAAAGTCTTATTGTTTTACAAAGATAATTAAATGACTTATAAAAACTTACGCAATTTAAATGGAATTATGACTAGTGCTGTTACAGAGAATACTTACTTGAATAGCTATATATTTTACTGCTGTCTGGAGTGAAAGCAGATGCAGTGCATCTTCCATTTACCTTCATAGTGCCAATCAGTTCCTTTGTCTATAGGATGAAGAACAACAATGGTGACAATGATTCTGCCAAAAATCTGTTCCATACTCCTGTTCCACAAAAATCTTAAGTTAGCTACACTGACATTAAAAGAACAGCATCATTTTCAGTGCCTACAGACCAGAGCACAAGCTGATGCTCATGAGTCCATGATCAATTTATTATTGCACAACTACATCTAGTTCAATAAACACTCATTTTCTCCCTTGCTGAAGGGTCTTCATTATATAACGGAACTGAACTTTCTTTTTGAAAAGTATTTTTCCTAGTAAAAGTTTAAAACAAATCCAGCTGCCATCATATGGCATTTTAAAATTTAACTGAAAAAATTCTATATGTATTATGAATCACAGTACATGGCATGATTCATGAACACGGTACACTAGCATGCACTAGCGCTATTCCAAAAAAAGCAGTCCTATATTTCTTCCGCCCTCAGATGCCTGTTTCCATGCTGAGGCCATTCCTTTTGCCAGCACAGCGTTCATGCAATCAGCCAAAATACAACATTGACATACAACTTTTTCCAGTGACAGCTTAAAAACCCATGAAACTCTGGCCTTAGCTCCACCAGTCCCAAAGAGAATAGTCAGAAAAAAATTCTCAGACACCCCAAAATAATTTTCTAAAGCTACAGTTGGTTGATTCAGCACCTCATTTTTGAAGGCTGTCACAGTATGTGTCATACCTTTGTTTCAACTGAAAGCTAGATTGCTTTTCAGACTAAATATAAGCAAGCAGATTCAAAAGGAAAAAGGTACCAAGAAACTGAAGCTACATGAACCATGAAGAGAAACTACCTTCATTGACAACAAGTGAAGGTAACCTGAAGTTCCAGTGAGAAGCATAAATGATCCATCTGGAGAGACTTCGAAGTTTCTGAGAAATCTTTCCTCCACACCTTCAGAAAGAGATTCAAACTTCAAATTGGCATAATTTATTCTTTTTCCTCAACATTCAGAGGTATGATGAATATGAATAAGACCTGACTCCACTTCAGCTTTTCACTTCTGTAATATACTGTCACAGTAAAGCTACAACTCAACCTTGTTTACGTGTGACAATTAACTTTTAATATCCCAAACAAACTAAAGCTAAAGGTACTCGAGTAAAGATGCCTGAAGACAAGTTAAAAATAAGACCTCCAACAATTTACTACACTTCCTTTTAAACCAAATTCATATGCCATCTCTATTTGGGACAGCTTCAACTATGCCCAGACACTTAACAGCACTGTAAAACGTACCTCTTACTTTCTGTATAGGAATAATACTTCCGCTCATCATGTCATACACAAAGAACATTTTATGGTGAGTACCAGTGGCTATAACTTGTTCTCCATCAACACTGAAACAAGCCTTATAAATTGGAAAACTCTCTAAATAGATGCTCTGTATTCTTGGATTCGTTATACCATCAACCTTCAAAAAAAACCAGATTATCATATTAAGGAACATACCAAATACTTTTGGAACATACCAAATACTTTTACATAGAAAATTCATATCAACTACCCAGTACAAGAGACTTAAACAATAAGAAGTACACCAGTTTGAAGCATTAACGTCTTCCTCTCAATCTACAAATAACCTGGCTCTAAGCTCCTCACCCTATGTATCAGGCAGTCCCAGCCTTCCTGGATATACTTCATACCTCTTACCCTTTCCTGTCTTGCCCATGCTTTGTTCAAATAATCACTTCTATGGTGCTTCTCTAAACAGAAACGTTTGCTTCACTGTTCTTTCCTGCAGCCCTGTGGGGGTGTCAAATTCGACTTCGACCATTTCACTGATACTGGGCCATGTTGAAAGTTCATAAATAGAGTTACGATCTTTAGTTTTCAGAGGAGCAGGGTAGGACTGTCCCAGGATGAGTAGCTTCCTGCTGCAGTACAGTCTCTCCACTCCCAAAATCATTTCACAGCAATATTACAGTTTTAAGTGAAAGTGGACTGCTCCCCACACTACAGGCTTTACAATGTAAGAACAAAATAAATTTCATTAGTCCTCGTCACTGCAAACCTTAAAACCAAACATTTTTAAAAAGAAATCTTCAACTAAAAACTCTGATCTCTGATACAACGATGTTTGCCTATACTTTGTAAGTGGCTGGTATGAAGTCACAGATGGAAATTTCTTCCAACAAGATGCCTTCAACCAAGCAAATTCCATTGTAACCACAGACATTACAACCCCTGTGAGCACACCATCACAGAAAGAGAAAAAATAAAGTCTATCATTCCATTCTATCTCAGGCATACTTATAAAAAAAAGATTCCGTATTAGTGGCCATTTACACAGTATAGATTGAAATTCTTCACCTGAAAGAGTGACACAGATCGATCATGTCCAGCAGTCATGACTACTTGAGCAGACGGATGAAACTGCACAGTCACCAGTTTTCCATTAGCAAAACGTTCCTGATTAGCAGGCAAGCAGGTCCTCATCTAGGACAAAGATCAAGCAGTTTATAAAAAATACAGCTTACATATTTTTGCTTATGCTGATGAACAGCCAATTTAATTGTTCTTTATTCTACAAGACCAAGATCTCAAACCCTATGATGAACTTTTAGACAGCATGACATAAGCAGAACATACACACAGTAAGTTCAGTAAGTTGCTTCAATGCAGCAGTGTAGATATAAGATAAACTAGCTAGCCTTTCTACTGACTTGGAAATTAACAGTCTATGTAAAACTAGTTGCATTTTGACTCATCTGAAATAGCTGTAGAAGACAGTATAAAAAACATTAATTTAAGGCTGTCGCTTCTCAAAGACCATTTCAGCAGCCTCAAAGTTTTGGGAGAATTCCATCCTTCCTATGCAGAAATTAAAATTTCTACTACAAGATGCTGATTTAGAGTACCTAAAGTAATTCTTATGTCAAACAATACATCTCAATTCATTCTTTCATGCTTTTGTGATGTGAACTATCCAATTTGTCCAACTGTTTACTCTTTAGAGTTTCTAGTTACAGAAACAAGGAAATTCATATAATCGCTAATTTTTCTGCCCAAATAGCAATGAAGAAGTCAGACTGAGGTGGAAAGATAGGCTTGCCTTTACCTTCAAAATACCTCTTGGCAGGAACTCTGAGTTTGATATGAAATTGCCAGTCCTGCATAGCAGATCATCATCTTCATCACTGTCACCTAATTAAGACAAAGCACATTGAAAAGGCTAATTCCACAAACACTCCAACATCAAAACCTACAAATTCTTTACAGAAACAAATTAAATCAAAGCACACTGAAAGAAGGACGGAATAAAGCTGACTTATAAAGCCTATTATCACACTACTGAAACTAAGGAAACATCAAAAATAATTATTTTCTAAGAAGCTGAATAGGGAAACACAGAAACACTTATTAGAATAGTAATGGATTTATTTACCATCACTTGCAGTCCTTTTGGATTTCTTCCTGTTTTCTAAATTAGCCCAGGCAGGAACTCCTCCCATAGCTCGCTGAAACCTAGCAAGAAAAGGGTAAGGGGGGAAGAGGAAAAAAAACCCAACTTTGAGAAAGTAATTTCCTTCCATGCTTTAAGTACTTACAAGATGTACAGTCATAATTTTGCAGGATTACCTGCTCTTAGAACACTATGCAAATTTTTAAAAATTTCACTCAGCTTTCTATGTTTTGCTGACTTCCTGAATTGTGAAACTAAAGCAAAATTGATACCAAACATTAAAGCACTGTTCTTTGCAGCAACACACGCTAATACCAAGACAGCCCAAACACATGTGAAGTTCTGCTTTGCTATCTGACTATATTCACACTTCAAGCTCAATCTTATATACCATAATAAATTAGCATCTTCTATCATCCTATTTACAAAGCAATGTACCAGTATAAAAAATAATTCCCAAAAGACAAATTAGTTTATGCACCTCTACTAAAATAGGTATTAAACAAATTAATCTAGACAATGTTAATGTACATTTTATTTGCTATTGTTAGTATTATTTTGGATTTAAAAACAGGCCGCATAAATACAGTGGGTAAAGAGGAAATGTCATATAAATATATCTTATCTCATTTTAATAAGGTTAACCACAAAAACATTAATGAAACTCACTGTTCTTCAAGTCTTCTTTTTAGCTTTTTCTTAGTAAGCACCTTCTCAGCATCACTCTTCATGAAATCTTTCCTGTACCTATGGGTCATATCAACACTAGAGGGGAAAAACAGACAGAACATGCAGATCACAAACTGAAGCCACTTACAGTCACTCTGTAGTGTGACATGTAACTCCTACCTGCAAACTTGAACTTACTTTTCCTCAGCTTCATCATCTTCATCCACCCAGGCTGGCTTTTTAGACAAGAATTTACCTTTTGCTTCATTTTCTACTTCCGAATCACTGGAGTCTTTCTGAAGATTTTTCCTCTCTGTAGCATTAAGCTGAAAACAACCAAACAGACCATTTCAGCCCTGCCAGGGATCGGTAGGAGATGACAGACATGGCGGCGGGGAACAGGCAGGAGCGAGGAGCCGAAACCAGCAC